TTATTTGAGTACCTACAATAAATACAACTTATAAAGTCATCTTCGTAATTCATTTCAAAATACTTCCTACATGTCAACTGAAGTAGTTGGCTAGTTACACTATCAAATACATTGGTGTAATACTTACTCCCATACATATAGGTACTTGTTATTAAGCACCAGCTACAACTACCTATGTACTTGATGTATAGTTATCGTAAAAATAATCTATTATATACAATATATAAGTCAATAATTAATATTTTACCGAACTTAAAAGTAGTTTATGTTTAGTTAATAAATATAGGTACCTAATTATTACTGTTAAATACTATTTCATCGTTTTGTTTTAGAGTCTCAAAAATAAACTATCAGGCATCAGCACCATGGATTCTGCTCAAACTTCTTGTAGTCAAAGGATCCTCAAAACGCGGTGGAAAAATATGTCAGTGGGATCACACATACTACTGAGATCCAACTGTCCCTAAACAGCCGCCCTGCTGTGGTTTCGTTAACCGACGACGGTCGGTACAGATTGCATCCACTGGTTGCGGATAGTGGAACGCCCGGTTCCCCCGAGATTCGTCTCGGGTCGGGTAGCGCGTTAATAACTAACGACGCGCCGCAGACAGCTCCGATCAAATGACCCGTAGTCCCGGGCGGTGTGCCCACCGGATCGGTTCACGGTCGTTGCTGGGGCAACCGACCCCAGCAGCGGTGTTTCCAGCGTGTGCAGGTAACACGGGTGCCGGAGCTTGTTTCCGACCTTCAGCCAAGCGTCTCAGTATCAGTCAGGCTCGTGAAGTCGATGTGGGCATAGCGGAGATGGATCGGACTTGCAGCTGACGGCTTGTCTGTAGGGTGCCCCCCTTAATTCGGTAGGCGGAGGCGGCCGCCGAAGTATGTCCAACCGTTGACACGTAGGAACGGTAGCTCGGGGGCCGGGTTAGCCCAGGGGAGTATTCGAGCCAGGAATGCTTCCCGCCCGGCCAATCGGATTTCCAATCCGTTGGAGTCGGATTCGAGCGGGTTGTTGGTCTTTTCGCTGGTGTAGCCGGCACACACCGTAACCGGCGGGCGTCCGGGGACAGCGATCACGCAGATCCGGTCGCTTTAACGGTAGGCGGGTAGCGGCCACCGCCGGTGTGCCGTCCACCTCTGGCGGCCAGTCGCCGGGCTTCGGGTAAGACCGGGCTCGGCGTCTGATGCCTCCGCGTCTCTTGACTAGCAGCGCTCAGCGCTAATAGAAGGTACGCGGTTGTAGCCGTGAGGCAATAAAACCCCTGGAGTCATCGTGTCCCTAAACACTTAGTATAGAATAAAAGAATTATTTTATAAAATAAACTATATGAATTATAAATTATAATTATATTGAAATTTAATATACCAATTTTAGAAAAAAATACATTGTTAGTATGTTACAAACACGATTCCACAGTGTCATCGTTGGGTACTTGGGTTTTAAAATTAAGTATTTAAATGGAAATTAAGAAAATAATATAATAATATGTGATATATCAGTCATTCGCTGTTTTTTTTCTTTTTTCAGTTATTCATATAAAATACATTACCTAATAATAATAAATGAGATATTTGTAGTTATAGCGAATTGAATTTCAAAATATAATAATAAGAATCGTAATATTATATGTCGGAATAATAACCAATAATGTACGCCACATTTATGAAAAAAAATGTCGTTCTATTTATAAAACGTGACTTGAGGGAATATGATTTTCTGTATTTTTATGGTTTTATATTATGTATCGTTGAATACAGATAAAAAAATGAGGTGTATAAAACTATACAATTTTGAATTTAATATTATATTTATACCATTTGGTGTTTTTACTATTAATTATATTATTATAAACTATATCATCATTACAATGTACGGTATTGATTCAATTAATTAATTTAATTATAAATATGAATTTTTAAATAATAATAAAAAATAATTAATGTTTTGTTATATTATTTGCGTTTTTTTTTTTATTTCATTATCTATATTTAATTTACATAGTATTAATTTTTTTTACATATTCACTTTTATTCAATTTAAAAAAGCTAAGGGTGTAAAAAAGTATGTAATAGATAAACACATAAAATTCAACGAACATTTAAAATAAGAGACATGTACTATAATTTTAAAAGATGGTGTCCATACGCAATAGTATTAATACCGTGCAGAGACTTATCTTGTTATTTCAATCTTAATTGTGTCGTGTAATATTGTTTAGTAACTGGATTCATAATCCAGACAATAAGAATTTTCGTGTGAGAAAAGAAATTTAATGTTGACATGAACTTTTTTTCTAAACACATTTTAACAAGTCTAATTTTGGAAAAAATGCATAATTTCGATAAGTTTTATGTCAGCCGATAGCTTTTATTCACTATTAAAATATGTTTGTACAGTCTACAATTTGGACGCTATCCGGGCAACCATGATGTCTAGGATCCTGTCCTGTTTTCTCACTTATCATATTTTTCGCTTATTTCGTTGTCGGCGAATGGAGTTTATTCTACATCAGTTGCTTATAGACGTTTAATAAGTTTTATATAAATAGGAACTTAGTTTTAAACTGTTCCTTCGTCTAAAATTAATTGCTTTGTGAAGTAGTACCATTGATAAATATACTTATTAAGACGTATACTATATGCGTGTATATTTGATCAATGGTAGTAGGTACCGTTATTAAAGTCTAACGTATTTATATGTTACATCATTACGTTTATTTTATAAGCATCATAATATGCACAATAGGCATATTATGCGCTGACTATTAGATATTAAGCACCTCCGGTTTAGGTGCCACATATACATATATATTTTATGAATGTAAGGTTCCGGCCAATATCCCTATGTGAGAGAAAGCCAGTTCTCCGCGAGCCCATCACGTGCACCTGAACTCCATACAATCCTACATTTTTGGTAACTTTGTTCGTAAATTGTAAGTAATAATAAATAATTTGTTTGTATTCATAATAATTTAGATCAATCGTTATTTATTTGTAATATTAAGATCCTATAATACCATTCCTGCCCCCGAGCTACGGTAAAAATATATTCAAAAGACCTAATTTCTTCCCTGAATATCTTATATTTAACTTGTCAATCCCCGACCACGTTACAAAAGATTTAATAATATATATTTGATGACATTTTATTAAATCAAAATACTATTATTAACATAATATTAATGTACTAATGTCAGATTGCATGAACAATTAAAAAACATTTATTGAATCAATAGTGAGCTAATAAACATGATTAAACATGGTTTGGTGGAAAATTACATTTTAATGAACCATTAAAAAGGACGTCGTGCCCATATGTACGACGTAAATGAATGACATTTTATTTTATCATAATATAGTATTCAGATTAAAAAAAAAAACAATATTTATCAAAACGGTGACATTCAAATATGAGAATAATAAATGCCATCAAATAGGTTAAATTAATTATTTTATATCATTACTGAATCACCAAGCAATTAATCAACGATAAGATATATTATAAAAACAATTAACGAAAAGAAAAATACGTTTAGTGGAAGCTCAGTTCATAATTGTACACCACTTAACTATTTCCGAGTTTTGTATTGTTATTTTTCTGCTCTCTCGTGTATTTGTATAAAGACAACAATTTTTTTTACATCATTTTTACAACGGTAAGAAATATGGATTTTATTAAATAAGGTTACATTTTCATCTGTGATTTCGTTGAGATAAACGGTCTGTTTTGAAAAAAATTGATTTTATTAATTCTTTCTTAATTTACTTACTATGTGTACTTACACTCATGTACGACATAGCAAATTTTCGTTGGTAGTACTTTAGATTTTAGTAGTACCATCATAATATAACAATAATAATATTATAACTGTCCTATTTCCCGATCTGCCAGTCTGTTTTTGGTTCCAACCTTACCGTATCAACCCTACCAATCTTACAGGCCAATGACCTCAGTCATCGAAGCCATAATCCAATAAAAAAATAATAATAATTCAGAAAAATAATTTTCAGAAAATTTACCGTGGTTGTGTACAACGACATTTTCAAACGGGAACAAGGTCAGTTCATACCGGATCAGAATAACAGAAATTTACTGTAGGTAAAACGAGTTCTACCAATATTTAGTTTTGCAAATTTTTCGATGCGAATTCCAATTTGACGGTTCGTAATACTACCTACTATAATTACAATAATAATGTTAGACCACGGGCGAGTTTAAAGCGATATGCTGTGTAACGTGGTCGGGAATGGCCCGTTAAATATAAGATATTCAGGGAAGAAATGAATTCTTTTGAATATATTTTTACCGTAGCTCGGGAGCACGAATGGTATTAGGATCTTAATATTACAAATAAATAACGATTGATCTAAATTATTATTAATATAAACAAATTATTTATTATAACTTACAATTTACGAACAAAGTTACCAAAAATGTAGGATTGTACGGAGTTCAGGTGCACGTGATGGACTCGCGGAGAACTAGTATTCTCTTACATAGGGATATTGGCCGGAGCCTTACAATCATAAAATATATAATATGTGTCACCTAAACCGGAGGGGCTTAATGTATTATTATAGTCAGCGCATAATATGCCTAATGTGCATATTATGATGCTTATAAAATAAACGTAATGATGTAACATACGTTACAGCTGTACCTACTACTAAAAAAAATTACGTTCAATAATAATTGTGAATTGTCCACATATTATGTTATAGGTAACGGCTTTTCAATTGTACGGCAGTGACACTGTGTTGGAGAGATCGATGAGATCTTTCTGCGGCGGTAAGCTGCAATATATAAACAAACATTATGCACCGAACCAGACGTTCACACAACGCTCAAACGTATACTTATAAATGCTATGCAGAAGAAAAGCGTATTTAACTGCTTGTTCATAGTGAATAAATAAAAATATATACTTTTTGTTCTTGTGTTTGTTGTAATGTTTTGAATTAATGACACTGACGATTTATGAGTAATAAAGGTCAGCGAAATGATCGGCATGAAATTGGAACGGGATGAGATATTGAGCACGAGCCCATTGTTTTTCGTACTGTCGACCCTTTGGGTATGTGAACATAACCAAGTGTGCGACAAGTTGTCATGGAAGTCAAAGTTGTGGACGGACGAAAAACTGTACACCACGGCTAGAAAGATTGTAACCGGTCAAATGATGACCATCATGATGAACGAAATCCTAAATGTGGAACTCAGACCGGAAGTGTACCACCATCGAATGGAAAACATCTGTGGTTCCAACACGCCAGTTGAACTGTATATTTTGACGATGGCTATATGTCTGTATCAAGTAATAAAAGAAAATATTGCAGAAGTATTGCAGGTCATATCAAACCACGATTTTCAAAATTATTATAATTATAGAAGTTGAAATTTGCATTTTAATAATCCAAAATATTCGTTATTTTTCAAAAGAATTTTTTTAGCATTAATTATAAAGTAAAATCAAAATGCGGTCTTTAATCCATGACCTAAAGAAAGTTCTAGTCTTTCAGATAAAAAAAGGTGGGCAAGTGGGTGTCGCTCTGCTGTACATTAGGTTACAAATTTGTCACTGTAATGGATGGTGTTAAATTTCAATTCAATGATATGATATCATTACATAAGAAAAACGATTCTGAGCGATGACGGTCAGTCAGTCTGTGTATATTACTAAGTATATAGTTGATGATATTATTGTTCGTAAACAGTTCAAAACAAATCAAAAATATTTTGAAAATTTTATCGTCATAGAAAATGCTGTTATAAACAATCAGTGAAAATTTAATATATCTACGGTCATTTGTTTTAGAGTTACGCCCAAAACCAATGTGTTGTATATAGTGAAACAGAACATCAAGCTGAAATAAGTTTAAACTATTTTCCATAAAAAATTTAAGGCCACGGAATTGAAGTTGAAAACATGGATGATGAGTTTAAACCTAACATTAAAATAGAAAGTTAAGATGATATATATTCGTTTCAATCTGATAGTTTTAATTGTGTAAGTACTGTAAGTAACTTTTTGAAAACTATTGTCGATTCTGCTAAAATGTCAACACCACAAAAACAACTAGAAAGCAAAATAAATGCATACTATTTACTTTGATGAATTAAATCGAGTTGATCAATTATTTCCACTATGGACGAATATCATGGTACCAGTATTCAATTGCCCAAATATGACAGCATCATCTGCACCTGTTGAGAGTCCGACCGGTTTTTGCTACGCCACGGCGCGCGTTCTGGTTACCCGTACCAAAAATTTGCCACTCGGCGAATTATTAATAATTTTTAATAAAAATACGCGGAACGGTGGGTGCTTCAGCTCCCAAGCACCCTCCCTTCCCCTAAATCCGCCACTGATAGCAAAGTATTATTGCTGTGTCGGCTAGTATAACTAAATAGAATAAACAACTGTCTTCGGAATTTTCCTTCAACTACAAAATTAATACCATAATGGCTTACATAATTACCTAGCCGTTTCTTTGGAGAAGTCGTTTGTTTTTTTTCAATGTACATTTAAAATAACAAAAGAATCTTTTGTTTTAAAGTGTTTCCTATTTAGTTATATTCGTGTGTACATAATATACAAAGTAGAAGATATATTTTTATATTTTCTAGTTCATACCTCATAATGATTATGTTTTATATAATATGTTGTCTATTATCCATTACATACATTTGTTCTGCGACCGTGATCAATTACGATTTATTAGTTGGTGACATATCATTTTACAATCAAACACTGGTGTTTGCATTAAGTGACCAAGAGAAACATGGTACAGATATGTTGCAGTTGATTGAAAATTTAATGGCACCATGGCACGATGGTACTTTTGCTAATGAAAAAAAAATGGTAAATGATTGTATAATTTTGGAGTCCGAAATTCTTATATGTACATTAAAAATAATATGCAAAATCAGCCGGTTTTTGTTTTTTGTCACTGCTGTGTCCATGTTAATGAGTTTTCCGTATAATTGTTACCGGAAAACAAGACATATATCTAATAGAAAAATAAATTAGACAGCATATTATTTTGTGATAAATCTAAATAAAAAACATTTGAAACCACAAGTTCATGATTATATTTCTATTATTATTAATTGTAACATTGATGATTTTATTATCTAAGAATCCATATTATATTTTATGGACCTTTAAATATTTTAAAGTAAAAGTTTGTAATAAGTACTAATTTATAGGGTTCTAGCTATAGGTTTCTAGCATTGTATTACGTTGCCCGTATAAATGTCAACTCTTAAAAAAATTTTAATTGTTCAACTCTTTTTGGGTGTAACTCGCTGCAATAAGTTCAACTCGGCAACCACTTATTAAGATATTAAAATTGTATTCTTTATTTAGGCACCCTTTTTAAATTGTCCTATATTATTCGGTAAACGGACACTTTGTACTATCTATGGTTTGAGTTGCATACCGCGGACACTTTGTACGGTATAAATAAGCCGGGAAATATAGTCGGGAAATAAGATAAAATTGAATTTCTCAAAACTTTAGATCGCGAATCGTGATCGCAATCAGTATGAGACATGGGTTTGGTGACACAATACACTCCACACACAACCCATACTCTCTGTACAATATACAATATGAACCACAACCAAACAACAAAGTTAAATCCGTATTACGAGTGTTTTGCGATCTTTGCAATTGGATGAATGTGCTAGTCATTTAAACAAAAATATAAGAAAAAAAAACCAAAATACACAAAAAAATATCCACGAAGCCTGTACACAGCACGAAAATAAAATAATTACAAATACACAATTACTTGAAATAATTTGCCAAATTTTTAATTTTTAAATATTATATTAACTATTAGTATTATTATTATTTTTATTATTATTTTTGGTACTTTTCTGTTATCCCTACTTCCGCTCGATGCCACGACTACCACGACTACTCAATTCTGTTAACTCGACCACTACAGTACCTACTATCCCGATAGTTCCGTATTTTTAATACATAATACAGTAATGCACATGAATTGCCCGGCGGTTCCGAGTTGCGTGCGAAAATCGTTTTCTGGGTCGAATTGCGTGCGTGGTTTTTTCATAACAGGGTTGAGTTGCGTGCGCGGTTTTTTTGTGACAGAGCAGAGTTGCGTGCGAGATACAGTGTTGATGCCGCACGGTGTGCCAGATTTATTTACACTAAATAATTAAAGAATACATTTACTCTTCGAATACAAATTATTAAAACAATATTAATTCAAGTAATAATACAATAAAATTATTAGGTATCTCGTAAAAACGATTATATTTAAATATTTTATATGAGTAGCAAAAAATGTAATTTAAAATTACAGTCAAAATATTATAAAAATAAGAAAAAATAAAAATAAAATATAAAATATAAATATTATAGAGAGTAAAACATAGCAGAGTAAAACATACTGTTTAGTTTCGAAAGGAATGACTCGCATGAATTAGTAGTGCACTGCAATGAGTTAGAAAATTCAGCCCATAATGACGGTGGAAATTTAGAATTTGGTAAAACATAATTTCTTTCGAAAAAATTACAAAAATCATGCAATTGCTGATTTTTTGGTTTTATGGCCATGAGGTCTTCAGCAAAACATTTATGAACATCCTCAGGTTTTAAAAAAGATAATCCAAAGAATAATTTATCAATTTATCATTTAAAAATTATCAGCTTATATCTTATTACCGAAAAGTCCCATTCCCTACATAGTACTACTAGTACATACTAGTATTTATAATCAATATACCCATATATAGCTATTATATTAAATACAGATAAATGATTCTCCGGCCGATACATCCAGCTCGGTGAAAACCAGTTGTCTTTAAATAAAATATGCCCACGCAATTCAGCTCTGTCATGAAGAAACCACGCACGCAATTCGGCTGTGTCTCGAAAAAACCGCGCACGCAATTCGGTTGTTGTCAAACATAGTTCTTTTTTTCTGCACGCAATTCGGATGCAGCCGAATTGCCATTTATATAATAATGTGAATTCATGCCGAAGTAAATACCTACCTTCACTGGATGGTTTCTTCCCTCAAGACACTCAAGCCATTGCCCATTACACTTAATTTAATTTTAAAAAAAAATATACATTATGCTCTTTGTACTTTTTTTTAGTATAGATTATATAAGTTCTACTAACAAAAAAAAAAAAAAATAATAATAATAATAATAATGTATAATATTAGTATAACGTTCATTAATACAATTATAATCAGTTACCTACCAAATAAATGATCACAGTAGCGGAGAGTTATAATATTAAAACATAAAATCATCAAAATTATCACAAAACGTCAAATTAAAAATTCTCATAAAATCGTCAAGATATTAAATATATATTTAGGTACATATATATATATTATATATATATAAATAAAAGGTGGACAAGTGGGTACCGCTCTGCTGTACAGTAGTTGTCGAGTAGGTATGTCATTGCAATGCGGATGTGTTATATTTAAATTCAATGATAAATCATTGGATACGAAAAACGATTCTGAGCGGAGACGGTGAGTTACGCCTAGCAAGTGGCGCCGAACACGTATGGATACTCTGGTAAATACCTCATAACTTTTGTAGGTGGTGGATGGATAGGAGGGTGACTGCTTAGTGCTTAGTGCTTTAAGGTCTTGTTGAATTTGATAAATTACTACTAAATATAAAATATCGTAAAAATTATATATTCAAACGCTCATAAAAAGTAATTATGATAAAAAAGGTCTATGGACGATAAAAATATGAACTGTATCGGTGAGGTATTTTTATATTTATATTCATGTTTATGATTTATTATCGATTTTATCTAAATCGGCGTCGGCGAGGTGGAAAACAGAATTGAGACTCGTGGTAGTAGGGATAACAGAAAAGTACCTACCTTATTTTTAAATTTATATATTATGATTTATGACTTATAATTGACACTGAATTTTTTTAAAAATTCATGAAACCTGTAGATACTACAAATTTACTATTATAACTATTATTATTATTATTATTATTATTATTATTATTATTGTTATTATTATTATTTATGTCTGTTGACTACGTGGGTTTTGTAATAACAATTTATGTGATAATGTGATGTACATACTATATATACGCACTTGTATCTTTTTTTTTTTCATTTGAAAAATACACACTTATATCTAGGTACCTCAAATAGTACAAACTGTCCGCGGTTTTATTTTTTTTCTAGGTGACCGTACAAAGTGTCCTACAACCATATTACTCGGTGGTAGTGTAACCTTCTAATAGGTCACCGACCCTGGCACAACAAATTTTATCATTTTGTTACAAATTTGTAACCAATTCGTAATAACCCGTAACCACAAATTTGGAATTTGGAACTTAAGTATAACTGCCCAAAATCAATTTTCCATT